TAGCAAGAGTTTTTTCATCTCTAAAAGCTCTGCTTCATCAGCATTTGCATTCCATACTCGCTGAAGAGTGTCCTGAACCATCTGGAAGTAGTTCTCAACATCCGGGGCCATTGATTTTGCCACAATCTCTGGAGCTGCAGGAGCCAGACAGGTAGATCTTGCCAAATGAACTCCTTCCACTTGGGTGTTTGAGAGAGCCTTTCGCCTAGAGAAAGATAAGATGGCACATCAGAAAACTGGGCCAAACTGGCCCATAGTGAATGCTTTTCCAGCAGCCGCCCCAACTCTTTATCCAGGAACCAAGAATATTGGTGGCATATGATGTTAGAGGTGAGGGATTTTGCTCCATTGTATGACCTCTCAAAGTCCGTGGATGACAATGTCAGGACTCGTAGGAGGGCCTTCAGGAATCCTACAGAAGGTTTTGGGGCCTGGTCTGTAGACAAAGCACGATCAAGCACATGGAGTGAACACCCAAGATGTAGTTCATCAGCAGGGGCAATGTGCTCAAAATGACTATAAAGCCATGAATAGTCATCACTGACTGTGGATAGGTTCTGGATGTCAAGGAATGGAAGAAGTCCGAGGGTATAAATTATTGCTGTTGGTGGGAGATCTGGGACAACACAAAATTTGTATGCAGCATCCATGAGGTCGATGGTTGTTTGTGAATACTTCCGAGTATTCAATGAATCAACAAGTGGATAGTATCCTTCTCCACGGGCTAACTTTGCAATTTTCCAAAGCATGATTGTCAAGTTATTGTGCTGTGGCTCTTTAGTTTCTGCAAGATATTTGACAAGATTCCGGAATAATTGTGTTGTAAGCTGGATGATATGAGGGCTTGAACAACATTCAGATTGGATTTAAGAATAAATGATAGACTTGTATACCTTTTGTCTACAACTGAGTGGTCGCAAGGTAGAGCCGGCAAGAAGAAAGTGTTGAGACAAAACAGAACCTCAGCAAAGGCTGCCTGGTCCTCCGCTCTTTTGCCCATAACATGTCGAATGAGATCAAACAATTGGTGTGTGGTGAACCCCTTTCCAGCCAAGGCCCTCAGAGTCCAGTGGGTTGGTGTGAAAGAATTCCGATATGGGGATGAGATATTGAAGGTCTGAAGGAGTGATTTGAGTTCTTGGTTGCCAGTTTGGAAGTGTGAGCTTATGTGGTGGTAATTCTGGGGGCTGTCCACCAGGTTCAGTAGTATAACTGCCTTGGCACAGAGACCAGCTCGTGTCTCCATATTAGCAGGGATCATGTCACCACTGCGGCAGGATTCTAAGGTATCAACCAATCATTGTTTTGATGGGCCAATGTTTAAGCTGAGTGGCCACCACTGTAAGTCAGGAACCAGAGCAGCAGCACTCTGGACCATCAGAGGATTGGTGGAGGTCTCCAGCACCCATACAACAACGGAGCACTCTGGTGATGGTGGCGGAATGTTGTTGAAAATGAAGGTTGATGACTGCAAGGATACACCGGAGGCAGGGCTGGAGCCAGAAGTAACGAATGCTGACCATGTTTGGACAAGGAAGTGCTAGAGATTTACCAACAATATTTCCACCTTATGCCAGTTTTTCTTTACAAAGTTACTCCTGCTGGGGAATCGACGCAGTGAGGGAAAGAATGATGTTGAGGGCCCACTGTTGATTGTGAGAGGAGGGGGAAGATCATGTGGGGACAAGGGAGGTGAAGGGACTGAGGGAGTTAACCGGTGGAGGGGAATGTGGTCCCAGATGTGATGGGCCCACCCTGGAAGGTGATGCCAGGCTGCTGGAAGGATAAATTTGGCCACAACTATGTTCAACAGGCGAGTAAGGGGTGTTTGGAATGGGGAGTCTGCTGACTTCATAGCAGAGACAACCATTGTAGTGTATAAGATACACCCCAAAGCTGTGAGGCCGAGAACAAGTCCAGTTATTACATGGTTTATTGTCCACAAATAGGTGGATAGTCCAATGGCAAAAAGCAAAAGGGCAAACTGGAGGAGAAGAGGAAACATTTGCATAGCAGGATCAAAGTTCCAGTGTTGCATCCCGTCAAATTTGTGCTGTCGTTCAAGCCCACGCTGTGCAATGGTTCCTCTCTCACCCACTGAATCATAGTGCAGAAGCCATTGCTTCCCCAGGACAGCCAGCAGTGCAGCGAGGAGAGTGGAGAAGAGGATGAAATACAGGAAACCCTGCACAACCACAATTATGGTTGGTGGGGTGCTGAATGATGGGGTGCTTGATGTAGGTACACTTATGTTCTGGGCCAGGAGAGTGAGCAGAGCAAGTGTTGTTCCAGTCAGCTCTGAAGTGGGCTGAAGTTCAGGCTGTATCTGGATGATAAATGCTGAGCTGACAGCTGAAAAGAGACCGGCCTTGTTACACAATCAGTATCAGATTGAAATGTACATGGGTCACAAGCAAAAATCAAAGCAGTGTCTAAGTCGTTTCCATATTTCCGTTGAGTTTCCTTGTCGTACTCATCTGCCAAAGTTTTATAGGCAGTCCAGAATGCTGTCTTGTTGTCAGTCACTGGTGGATGCTGCTTGAGTCCCTCAACAGCGGTGATCAGTCTGTGCATGACTAGTGACCTTCCCTTTGGGGTTAGAAGACACTGATATTACTTCTCAAATGCACTTGAGAAACTGCAAAACAAACTCATAAGAATGAAGAAAAATAGAGAGAATAGTCTGTACGTAGTAGACTGCTGGTAAATTGCGGTGAATGAGATTGGGTGATGGCCAACCATTTCCGAGATATCCGGAGAACAAGAGTCGAAAGCAATGGGTTGATGACTACTATGCAGGAAAATTGGTGCCCGGGGCTCCCCAGGTACTTATCCAGGCGTACAACCACCCGAACCTCGAGACAATTAGTAACTGGCATGTCAGTATGGCGGATACCTTGAATTTGGTATACAACTCCCGTGATGACAAGAGTCGTACTCAGCAAGTTCAGGAATATATTCGCCAGAACAAAGGAAATTCAGAAAGGCAGCATTAGCACCCTGTGGCCAACTATCAGACCCAGATAGTTCCTCAGTATAGTAGAACAGTGACGGCTTATGCTCCAAAGTATCCCGCAATGCAACCTCCTCAGTATCAAATCCCGGAGTTTGTGGTCAATATGCAGATTCAGAACTCGAAAACCGAGGAAGAGTCGCTCAGTATGAAACAGATGATCCAGTTCATGGCAGCTATGAAAGCAGTAGATGCCGCAGCCAAAATTTCTGCCGAACTGTTTGGCACCGCATCATCGGTCCGATGAGATTCGCTGGTTTTCATGCTTGCACTGCAAAAAAAATTCTAAAAACTACACAGGGCGTCTCGGACCATGCGAAAATTGGGGTGGCCCGTTCCTTACATTTGGAATACGGGTAGAGAATGAAATTGACGCCTAAATTTAATCACCATCGGCTGAGGGGAGGTTGATATCCGGGATTTTTCGGCCGCCCACCTCTTGCACCCCCTGCTCACATTTACACTTATTGGGATTCACAACTGGATGAGAGAAGACCTGATAGTACATGGTGTGTACTGGCTTTCCTCGCGGAGCCAAGATGCACAGGTCTAAGGCAGGAGGTCCCCGTTCGATTCGGGGTCGGGTGATGCCTGGTTCACATGGTTTTTTGCTCCGTTGCAACTTATTGATTTTTTGCCCGACAGCTGGTGTATTTCTCTTTGCATTCACTCAGGTAGCTGGATGTCTTGTTCAACCTGGCTGATACCAGCAGTTGATGTGAGTTTAACCATATCTTGTGCAGACTTTTGGTAACACTCATTAAAGTTGAAATATGGTAGGAGAACACCTGATAGCACGTGGTGTGCACCTGCCTTCCTTTGTTACTCTTCCAAGGTCTGTAGGCAGGAGGTCCGCGTCCGATTCGGGGTCGCGTGATATTCCGTGGGACTTAAAAGTGTTTTCTAACTTACTTCCTGCACAAGAGCGCGAGGATTGGTAGACACCCCGTTCCCCGTCCAATCCCGACGGCGACCTGTGAATAGTATTATAACTTACGCAGTTTCAAGTTGAAGTTTGAACGCCGTCGGCCTTTGACCGTTCATACAGTATTACTTTTTTCTCTGCTGCAAAAATGAGTATTTCACCCACCCCTGCGCACACTTACAATTATTGAGGTTCAAAACTGGGTAGGAGAACACCGGATAGCACATGGTGTGCACCTGCTTTCCTTAGGCTTCTTCCATTCCATTGAGATGTAGGCAGGAGGCCTCCGTTCGACTCGGGGTCGGGTGATTAGCAAACAGTGTTGCGATTTTTTTTTCCCTCATTCTAATCAGTTCCTCTCTTTGACATTGTTTTTCGAACAACCGAGTGTCTCAATGGTGACATTCATATTACTTTTCTTTCTGCAAAAAATGAGTTTTTCACTCAAACACTTATTGAGGTTCGAAACTGGATAAGAGAACACCTGATAGCACATGGTGTGCACCTGCCTTCCTTGGAGCTGTACTTCACCAATATATTGGCAGGAGGTCCCCGTTCGACTTGGGGTCGGGTGATTCCCAAATGACATCATGATTTTTCCCCCGTTCCAATCACTCTGTTTCTTTGCCCTCGTTTTCCGAACAACCGACCGTTCATATTCCTTTTTTTATTGCAAAAATGAGTATTTCACCCACCCCTGCACACACTCATCCTTATTGAGGTTCATATTCAAAACTGGATAAGAGAACGAACACCTGAGAGCACATGGTGTGCACCTGCTTTCCTTAAGGTTTTCACCATTTAAGTTCTAGGCAGGAGGCCCCCGTTCGATTCGGGGTCGGGTGCTGCGGCGCTGCTAATGTTATTTTTTCTCCAATTACTTGCCCCATTCTCTACTTTTGACATCCACAAGGTTATCTAACTTAAGTATTTTCCTCAGGGTGGTTATATTCAGGGATCTTGTGTTCCTCAATTGCAAATTTGAGTTGTGTTTCTTTCTCTGTTATGTACACCTGCATCACTTTTATTGCCCCCTACCCAGCCTCTACACAAGGCTGAGAACACCTGGTAGCACATGGTGTGCACCTGCCTTTCTTTAGTATTCTTTCAAGGTCTGTGGGCAGGAGATCCCCGTTCGATTCGGGGTCGGGTGATAGACTCTATCAATCACATTTTGTTCCTTTCTCCCCTTTGTAATTAAGTGGCTTCTCTTCCCGGAGTCCTGGGCACTGGCCTTTTTCTTTGGAGCATCATACTGCATTAACTTGGGTAATTGAGATAATTTCACACCCACTTTTGCAGATTACTTTGTTACATATCCAGCTTCAAAACCAGTAGAAAAACACCTGATAGCACATGGTGTGCACCTGCCTTCCTTTATTGCTCTTCCATTCCATTGAGATGTAGGCAGGAGGTCCCCGTTCGACTCGGGGTCGAGTGGCTTGACCAGAGATTAGTTGGATTCTTTTTTCCACATATTAAGTTGTCGATTGATCCATTTCAATTACAGTAAAATTAAATTCCCCTGGTTATGTAAATTACACGCAAGTGGTCGTTCACCAATTTTTTTTTTTGCACACCCCTACACCTTTGAAACTGCGTATAGGAACACCCGATAGCACATGGTGTGCGCCTGCCTTCCTTCACTGCTCTTCCGCTTCGTTGAGATGTAGGCAGGAGGTCCCGTTCGACTCGGGGTTGGGTGATATTCCGTCGGACTCAAAAGTGTTTTTTAACTTATTTCCTGCACTAGAGAGCGAGTAGATATAGTAGACACCCGGTTCCCCGTTCAATCCCGAGCTGTGTCCCGGGGAATAGTATTATAATCTTTACGCAGTTTCAAGTTGTCGTGCGGCCTTTGACCGTTCATATTACTTTTGCTTTGCTGTAAAATCAGTTTTTGCTCACACTTATTGAGGTTCAGAGCTGGATGAGAGAAAATCTGATAGTACATGGTGTGCACCTGCCTTCGTTCAAGGGCGATAATTCGGTATATCGGTAGGAGGTCCCCGTTCGATTCGGGGTCGAGGGATGCGGTGTGATGATCTTCTTTTTAACTTGGTTCCTGCACAAGAACGCGAGCATTAGTAGATATGTATAGGAGACACCCTGTTCCCCGTCCAACCCCGAGCTGCATGCCTGTGAATGGTATTATAATTTACCGAACTTCAACTTCAAGTTGAACTTAGTTTGAACGCCGTCGGGGTTATGGGTACTCCGACGGGGACCGCGGTACGATGGCCATGGTTGCCCGTCGGGATTCGGAATTCGGGAAGGGTGCCAGCGGTGATGGATGAGCGGGATGAGGTGGGATGAGTCTTCGCTTCGTATGGTTGTAAGTTGTGCGGTCCAGGCTCCTGGCTAAGTACAATTTCTTCAACTAAAAAAGAAGAAGAAATAAATGCGTTTTTCGTCGCCTCGCATCTCGTTTGTGCACAAAATCAACGCGCCTTGGCCTCTTGGCGTTGACTGCTTGGCATTTAATTTGAAGCGTCGAATTGAACCAAAAAGGCAACTGCCAACGGGCGGTGATGGTGCGTCACCCATCAATCAGTCCGGATTTAGATCTTGACAACCGCGCAACAGCGCCCGTGCGCGGCGTATCGATCCGCCCTGCCTTGAATCCTGTCTTCAACTTGTTCTCAACCATCTCGTTCAACCACGCCGAAAGCACCCGCAGAAGACGAGAAGTGAAGGAATACAGGAAGTAACGGAATAAAGAAGGAAAGCACGCAAGCAAGCTCAGGATGTCGTTCTTCAAGAAAATCGAGGGCCTGGTGGAGAAGCTGCCGGAGGGGTACCAGCATACCAGGGATGAGATTATCGGTGTGTTTTCTTTTTTTCTTACTTTCCTTTCTCTCGCGCGAGTGAATCCCTCCCGCTTGCGCGTCATCGTGCGCGCCGATAGGAGGCTTTAGAGCGGTCTGGCGGGCATTCATTCTTTCTTTCAATCCAACAAGTTGTACCCAAAAAGGCAACTGCCAACGGGCGGTGATGATGCGTCACGCATCAATCCGGATTTAGATCTTGACAACCGCGCAACAGCGCCCGTGCGCAGCGTATCGATCCGCCCTGCCCAACTTTCGAATTCTGTCTTGTTCTCAACCATCTCTTCAACCACCTTGTTCAAAGCAACCGCAGAAGACGAGAAGTAAAGGAATAAAGAAGGAAAGCACGCAAGCAAGCTCAGGATGTCGTTCTTCAAGAAAATCGAGGGCCTGGTGGAGAAGCTGCCGGAGGGGTACCAGCATACCAGGGATGAGATTATCGGTGCGTTTTCCTCTACTTTATCCCTCTCGCTCGAGTGGATCCCGCCTACGCGTCATCTTGCGCGCCGATAGGAGGCTTTAGAGCGGTGTGGCGGGCATTCATTCATTCATTCATTCTTTCAATCCAACAAGCTTTCTTTCGAGCGCGTACTGACGTTACCTCGTTTTGGTGTAGGTCTTATTAACCCCAATCGTGAGTGCTCCCTCTTGGTGCTGGGATGAGATCGGCATACGTAGATGAGCTAACGCGCGCGCCGTACAGGCCGCCACGACGACCCCGAGGAAAAGCGCCTGGACGAGATCCGCGCAGAGATCAATGCTGGGCACCGCTTCGATAACTTTGCGGCGGAGAGGAGCGAGAATTTCGTTAAATGGTGAGTCTTAGCGAGTTTGTCTTGGTGGGGAGGTGGGCGGGGGAGTCGAGACGGGGTTAATACGCGAGATGCACTCTCGTCACCTTCGACTGCATTACCCCGCATTACCCCACGTCTTCATCTTTATCCTCGCTTTGAAAATGATATTGCTCGTGTACTGACCGCCGTTCGCAGGCACATCGACGGGCACGACTACATGTGGGCCCTCTCCGAGATGATCGACAATGCGCGCGAGGTTATATTCATTCAGGTACGTCGGTGTCTTCCTCTTGTGTACTTCTCCCTGCAGCTGTGTGCTCCCTTGCGCCTTTCTTGCGCGGTGACGTCCTTGTCTTGCGCGTGTTCTCGCCCTGGTCGTTCGTTCGCCATAGAGCTAGACGCTGATGTGCTCCGCGTTCCCGCCTCCCGCCTTGCGAGTCGACGGCCTCGTTGTTCCCGCCGTCAGCTTTGGCTTTGACATTCCAATGCGGACGTTGACCCTTTTGCCGGATTTGGCGTTGACGTCGCCGTCGACGTCGGCGCTCACTTTGACCTTGGCGCGTCCATGGGCGCGCGCCGGGTATGGCGACATTCTGATGGGCTTTGTCGGCGTCAGTGCTCGATACTGTCGTTTCAACGTGTTCCCGCACCTCGTTCCTCTTGCTTCCTCTCCCCCTCCCCCCCTCGTTTCCCTAACACTAACTAACCATCATTTCTTTCATACATAGGACTGGTGGCTCACCCGAGCTCTACCTCCGCCGCCCGCCCGCGTACCACCCCGAGTGGCGCCTCGACAGGCTGCTCAAGCGCAAAGCCGAGGAGGGGGTTAAGGTGAGCTTCTTGCCTCCACTCTGCTAGGGTTTTCTTGTGATTGGTTGGGGATTCGTTTGCGGACTTGGCGGGCTTCATGCTTGACCGCAGCGCGAGTGTGGACGGGGTTTTGACCGGGGAAGGAAGGGGTTGGCGAGCAAGGAAGGAAGGAAGGAGCGATTCAATCGCCCGAGCTGTGTGGTGGACTCGAGCGAGCGGGCGATCGGGGGCGATACCGTCGTGCGGAGCCGCCGCGCCCTGGATGCCCTTTCGGGGATGTTCTCAGAGAGGGGAGACGTGCGCGTTTGGGAGAGGCGCGCGTTCGGGAGCGGCCTCGAGCAGAGAGTGGTTGGACGATTTTACGCGCGGTTGCGTCCTTGGGCCGAGGCTTTCTTTTGGGCGGGAGTTGGGCCGTTCGGGGACGGGGGACGGGGGCGTTTATATCGTGCGGACGACAGGACGCTGCTGCGGCCGCTTTGTAGCATGTGCGCACGTTCTCGCTCTGTGGGATTCGACGCGTTCGTCGGCGGCCGCGCTCTTTCTCTCTGCACCTTTTTTTTTTTCCTGGCGGCGACCGATTTGGAGCGAGACGGGACGGTGCTGCTGTTTTCGTCCAGTGTCGTGATGGCTTTCGTTTCTTTGATTTTGGCGGATCTTATGGACCGAGGCGTGTCGTGTCGGCATTGATCCCCGAGGCATGGAGTGGTCGAGTGCGTAGGCGCCGTTGTCGACGTCAAGAGGGACTGGGGCCTCGTCTTTATTTCCGTGTCGGGTGCCGCGTTTGGCCCGTGGTCGAGCGGTTTGCAGGCGACGTCGGGCTTGTAGGGCCGCCGACGGAGACGCGGGAGGCGACTCACATGCGCGGTGGACGTTTGTCATTCTTTCGCGACGTTTTCCTCAGCGCGGGCGGGGGGGCATATGCATCATTTTGTGTTTGCGAGAACGGCAGTCTGGCTCTGGCACGGGGAAGTGGCTGTGGGTCGGACTGCTACATCGACTTTAATGCATTCCTTCCGCGTCTCTGCCGAGCTTGGATGAGGACGTACGCTTTCCACGGGCGAGACGAGACGCGTTCGTGTTACGGGGCGACGTGCTCGTTCTTCCTCCTTCCTCCTCCTTCCCCCTTCCTCCTTCCTCCTCTTCATCCCTTCCTCTTTCCTTCTCTCATCAACGCTCGGTATCATCAACGCTCCGCTCGCTAACCCCTTCCCTCCCCTCCAGGTCCACGTAATCGTCTACAAAGAAGTCACCCAGACCATGAGCATGTCGTCCAAGCACACCAAGAGCGCGCTCGAGGCGTTCTACCCCAACGTTACGTGCTTAAGGCACCCGGACCATATTGGGGCAAAAGGTGTGTGGCGTTTTCTGGGCGTTTCTTTTTGAGGGAGATCACAGGGGGTATTGGATACCGAACGAGGGCGTCCTCGAGGAGAAGGGGCCACGATGGTGACGGGGAGAGGGTTGTCCTTGGCCCGAGGAGTCGTCTTGCGGGGAGAAATGAGACACGGACGTCGGTGTACGGAGGCGGTCGTTGCTGTGCGGCGCGATGCGCGTCGGTGGGGCGCGTTTGAAGTGCGTCTTGGCCCGGAAGGAGGGCCGAGATCGAAGCTTGCCGCGGCCTCAGGCTACGGCGGGCGGTGCTACGCTGGTGCGCGGCAGGCAGAGGGCGAGAGGTCCGAGGTTGCATGTCCCGCTCGGACTACCCATCGTGCTTGCGAGGATGGTGCCTTGGGCTAGAATGCTGATATACTGCGACGGGATGATCATGAGCTCGCATGTCGCCTCGGGCTGCGCGCCTTGCGCTTCATCCTCCCTCCTCTCCCATCTCCCACCCTTCCTTCCCCCCTTCGTCCCCGATCCCTTCCCGCCCTTCCCCCGCCCTTCCCCATCCTACCATTGCCATCTCAATTCCATTCATTCTTCATGAATCGACCGTCTCGAAACGTTGATGCGCTCGGAACGCTGACACGTCCCGGCGCCCACAGGATTGCTGGCTCACCTCCGAGCTCTACCTCCGCCGCCCGCCGCGTACCATCCCGGATCGTGCCCCGATAGGCTGTTGAAGAGGAAGGCGGAGGACGGTTAAGGTTAGTTCTTATTTTACGATGTTAAGCTGGGCGAGAGGGGAGGGGGACGATGGGTGAAGGGTGATAGGTAACGGGGAGGATTTGACGCGATTGTGGGATGTGCGCGTCACCATTCGAGTCGCTCTCGCCGCGCCCGAGAGTGGGGAAGGAGAAGAGATGTTTGGGAAGTGGCGTGGATGGCTTTTCG